GAGTGGGGGAAGCCAAGTACGCTTGAAACATGGTTGCAATTCCTAATAGGTCTTGTCACACTTAAGGCACTGCAAGCTCCATCCAACGAACAGCTGAAGCTAGCTGGCGATTCATAAAGCCAACAGTTTAAAGTTTATTATGATGAAAGCCCTTAATGACAGCCATCGCTAGGGGCCCATCATTTATAAAGCTGTGCTGAGTATTAGACATGTAGCATGACCACCAATTTTATGTCACAATTGCTACCATAAAATGACCTTTGGTGATTTTTGCTGCATGTGGTGGACAGCTCTTCCTTCACATTAGTGCTCTGTGGCTTTCTTTGCAGACTATTATGCTGTCTAAAGCTTATTTGGCACTGTCGTGAGCCTCAACCCTGGTTATTACCCCCGAAGGCCTGTCTTAAAAAAAAAAAAAAAAAAAAAAAACAAAAAAAACTCATGCTCTATTACGCCACTCCAATAATTTGCAGTTCTTACCAGCCTTGGGTCATGCAATATTTTAATGCAAATATGTTTTACCGTTTTATTTATTTATTTATTTTCCAAGTTTCCCATGTGTGATGCTGGCTAGTGAAATATTCTCCTGCAGTTCAATGAAATCAGGCTTACTCCCTGGTCTGGTTTACTGACTGGGAACTGTTTATTCTGACCATTTAAAACGGTGCCAGAAAGGGGGGGGGTTTAATTAAACTTTTTTTTAATCCTATGTGTGATGAGCCGAAGCAAAACCACCAGTTCTTATTTCCCTGCATCTAAGCCCAATGCAAATTTACATCTGAGTAACATTATTTAATTAGGCTTCCATTTGTCACCTTTGCTTTGTAGAGTTAGTGTTTGAATACACGGCCACTTTACTGTTCCTATGTACATGGCTGTTGAGAAAGTAGCCTGTCCATGCTACCTTTAAATTGTGTATATAATTTTATAAATGATATAAAATCTGCTTCTAGTCTCTGGGGAGGGGAAAAAAAGAACTACAAGCATGGCACACTGCAATTTTGGAAGGATTTAAACTATGTGATTTCTGCTGGTACCTACTGTATTGGGTTTTATATAAAGCTTTTTCAATAAGGTAAATTGTTACATGACAAACTCATCTTCCACCATTATCATCTGCTGTTTGTGTTTAACAACAGGAGTCCCGCTCTAACAAAACTGTTGTAATGGCTGCACAAATTACTCAGCTGAAAGCTTTTCACCAAACAAAACAGTATTAATCAGCAGTTCTTATGAAGGTGCTAATTAAAAACAATTTTCTTCCTCAGTTTGCAATACTAAAACCATCTTCACTTGCACAGTTTCCAGTATACAGCTACTGTATTTGCTCACACTTCAGGCTCTCCATTAACTATTGAATCTCCTATTAGCCATTTTATTACATTTCTGGTGACAAGCTTGTTGACATTTGAAAAGTCACATTATGATCTGTTTTATCTATTAAAAAAGTCTTTTAATTGAAAACTCAGGGAGACCAAAATAAATAAATAAATACAGATTCCAAATGCAGAGACCTCTTGAGCAGGATACAGAGAAAGCCATCAGCCATAGCCTGGGTAAGCAGGAGCTCTGGATAAAACAGAATCTGAGATTTCAAAGCGGCATTTCAGGCCTGGTGGTTTGTCAGGAATCCTCATGGACTGGGCTGGGCTCCTTTATAACTTGGAAATAGTCCACCCAGGAAAACAGATTTATTTGCTCTGGCTTCAGTCAGTGTGCCTATCCAACTACTTCTCTTCTATGACATACTCAGTGTGATTATGATGTTTCTGTAGCCTGAAGACAGGATGGCTTGGTTCATGGAGAATATTAGAGCTAAGACCTGGGCCACACAGTCTAATCCTCCCAGTGACTGTGGTAAGCATGCATATGTTCAGTGGGACTCTATTCACCATGTGGGCATCCTGCCCCTCCTCCAAAGCCCAGTGAAAGGCTTTGCCAAACAATGCTTTTCAATTGTCTGGCATTGATTGGAATCAAATCAAGTGCTGACTAAGCATAAAGTCAAAAAGTTTCAGAAGCTGAGGGGAGGAGACAGTCCATTCCTATCAAAACAAAAACAGTAGCACCCATCCCTTAGGAAAAGGTGTGCCTTATTTCGGTAGTGGGGAGAAGAAAAAAACAAAACAAAACGAAACAAAACAAAAAACAAAATTTCCCACCTCCCACCTATTGCCTTAACCAGGTTCTTCAACTGTCAAAGGTACTTAACTAGTTAGGACAGACACCTGGCTCCTGGGACAGGGTTCCAAAAAGGCCACTAATCCTTCCTTTCACTCGGTTAACTGCTGGATCCCCCAACTGATTCAACAGGTATGCAGTGGTAAATTCAGCCTATACTGAAGCCAAAGGGAAAATCAGCAAGGGGCGGGCAGCTCTTCCCTGAAAACACCCGAGGAACCAGCCAGAAAAGCTTTTATGGCCCCGACAAGTTTTCTGCTGAATACTGAGCACCTAAATTACCCTTCCCTAATGGAAGTTACATTTTCATGCTCAGTCAAAAAGCCAACAAAATACACAATTTATACAAAATAGCAGCAACCTCTGAGGCAGTCTTTCTGAGCACCTTTATCCCAATCCACAGCATATGTCTTGCTATAAAATGAAATCTATTTCTCATAACCAACTTGGACATGGCTGTTCGTATTACTGCTTTGCAACTGCCTGTGGACAGCCTTAGATGCATTCTTACACCCAACCATGTCTACAAAAAGAAAAACAGGAGTTTTATCACAAGATTTAAAAAATCTAGAAAAAAAAGAATATACTGATTCTTAACACTGTTTTTATACTTTTTTTTTTTTTTAACTTTATTGTAGTATGTGTGTGTTCTTGTCAGAGTGTGCATGTGGAAGTCAGAAGACAGCTTTTGGGTTTTTTTTTTCTTCCACCATTCTGGGTCTTGGGGATTGGACTCAAGGTAGTCTGGCTTAGCTACAAGCACCTTCACCTGCTGAGCCATCTCACTGGCCCAGAATATCCTAATTCTTATGATCTCCCAGGCAGGATGGCTTCTTTTGAAAACAAACACGTGCATAATTATGTAGACAATTGTAGAATGGGCCAGTTCCATTGCAACTATATAATCTAATACTAATGCATAGGAATAATCATAAAATTCATGAAGAAATATAAATGGATAATTTTTTAAGAGTTGCCTTACTTTTCCTTCTCAATATCTGCATTCTATTAAAAATGTGAAAACTAATTAAAAAAAACACTTTTCATGTGTTCAATAATATAACATCAGGATTCCATAAAGAGCACATCTATGAAACCCTGAACATGTGACAGGAGAGCCAGAGGCCATAATCACACCATGATAAATATATTTTTTACTGGGTATCTTTTAGTAGGAACAGGTCAATTTTGATACACTGTTTTCAGATATTTCTAGAAAACACACTGCTAGTTTGCTTAAACGAAAAAAAAAAAATACAACTTCTTCCAAAGACATGAGTATTTATATATCTACTGCCAGTTCTTGTATTTTTCTGATTGAAAAGAAAGGAAATATTCTCATGGTCCTGCTATTCTATACTTAAAAAGTGGTAGGAGCTGGGGGGGGGGGTGGGGATGGGGAATGTCGATAGACCATCTTAGGTAACACCAAAGACAGGCTTCCTTTGTCTGGCAGATTTAGTTGCAGGTTTCACCTAGGAAATAATTCTCCCTGAATTTTTGTCAGTATGAGTGGAATGACTCATGTTGCTTTTTAAAACCATCCCAAATTCTAATTTTTTAAACAAGAAAATATGAAGCCTGTGTGCAATCCATCCAGTCACCGAAGGAGAGCTGCCACCAGCTGAACTACTCAGCTAAATGGTTGGTTTGCATTGCCCTGGTCTTTATCTAGCACCGAGAATAGACTGCTGTTTTATCCAAAGAGGAATAAATTGCTGTTATTGTGATGTTAGCCCATCACTTGGCATTGCAATTCAAGTTTTTGTGAGAAAGAAATGTATGATCTAACTGCGACTTGACCTATGCCTTTTGAGATCCATCTAGGTGCTTTAATGGAGCAGAAAAAGTGGTGAATACAGGGACATGCAAACCGATGGTAAGATTTTTTTTGTTTGATGATAGAAGTGGGCAGAGGAGACATTTGAGAGTCCCTATTTTTATGACATCTAAGTTTGCTTAACATGCAAAAAGATGAGCCTCCCCAGTGCTCCCCACTCCCCCTGGCCCCACCTATCATTTTAATTGTATAACATTGAATACACACTTTTCTTCTGCTAAAGATGTGAGGATACACAGCTAACCCACCTAATGACATTCCTGCCAAAGTGGGCACAGATGATTCCTTGCAGATAAACATCTGAATCTCCACAAAAGGCATTAGAGGACTTCCATGGGAGCACCAGGATGGGCTGGGGTCCCTGCAGAAAAACATTATCTTGGGTAGTACCTACTAAATGTTTACTATACACTCTAGTCTCAGAAACTAACAATATATACTTACTTTAAATAAGATAATTGTGTAATTGAGTTTAGCTTTTCTTTTTTCTTTCTTTCTTTCTTTCTTTTTTCTTTCAGATTTCCCCTCTGGTTGCAATCTAGCTTACCCACCATTTATTCAAAATTTCTCTGGAAGAGACCTATTTTGAAAGAGGCTGGGAGAACAGCAGCAGTTAAGATTTAAGCCTGGATAAAGGCTCACTTTTCATGCATAGTCAGAGCCTAAATGTGCTCTTCTTGTACCTAAACAGATAATAAGCACTCAGCGCGCTCCCCCTCCTTGACACGGCGCACTGAGACTAATCACACATAATTGGAGAGGAGGAGCAGAGGGCTGGCCACGCTATTGTGTCCAGAGGACAAGCGGTCAGTTTATGAGGCATTGGGCTGATGTAGTCATTTCTTATACCTCTATAGGGAAAAAAAACATCCTGTTTGAAAAGAAAAAATAATGAGAGAGAGAGAGAGAGAGAGGGAGAGAGAGAAGAGACAGAGCAAGAGATGATAGATTGAAATAATTAATTAGGACATCAGAAAGATGGGGTTTATATATTTATTTATTTAACCAGAAAAGAAGGGTGATGTTTCTGTATTTACAGATATAGACTACCATTACCAAACAGAACAAAGACAATTTAAAAAAATGAGGGGGGGGGACCATCAAAAGAGAGAATTGTGATTTAGAGAGGAAAATATTTCTGTTGCTCACAAGTCCAGTTCTGATCTTGGACTGGCTGCTGGCACATAAGAACACACAAAGGTTTGGTATAGAAGAGCAACAAGCTGATTGTAAGAAACGGCCAGGGAGCTGTGAGGGCAGCTTGGGAGCCCTGTGTGTGTGTGGGGTGGGGCGGGGCGGGGGGTGGGGATGAGTGGGGGGGTGCCCAGTTCCGAGTTCCGGGCCTGAGATGTGGAATGTGGAAAGTGGGTGGAGTCCTGAATCTGGGGGACCTGTGGCAGATTTCTCTTCTTGGGAAAATAATTCCTTGTGCATTTGATTTTTTCACCCCTGTCTTCTATCCCATTTTGGTTAAAGTAAGCAGAAGGGGGTAATGGAGGTTTTCTTCATACATGTCCGAGTTTTCTTTTTTCAACTGAAAATAATAGAAATACAAGGTAAGGAAGAGTTAAGTGAGGAATTTTTAGAAACTGAAATTAATGTTAATCTTAACATGATGATTTAAACCCAAATATATTATTCTGGGAAAAAAATTAATCTCATAAGAGCAACTCAAAATAGTTGCTGATAGTACTGGCATGATGATGATATTAAAAAAGGAATCTGAGGGTTTATTTTGTTTTGTTTTAGGTGAGGATTGGGTGGTGTTTTCATTAGTACTCAAACTGCACCATACCTGAGGGAAAACTGGGGTACCTTCATCTTCCCAGAATAGCATTGGGGATGTCTCTATATCAGCTTGGTTCTTGTTGCCCTAGTCAGGGCTACATCTAGGTGTGCAGGAATGTTGGATGACTGGAGACCACGGCCACACCTGGGCATTGGGACAGGTCTGTAGGGCCTCAGACATTTCAAAGGCTGTCTAGATCCTCCTTGGGGACACCACCCCCACCCCCAGGAACATCTTTTAGCACAACACCAATGCTTGATGGTGCTAAGGTGAATTTCTGAGGACCTTTTTCTGATGCAATTTTAAATTCCATCCACATGTTCTGGGAAATGTGGGGGAGGGGTACATGCTATTCCCTCATTTGGCTAGAATACTGACAGTCACATTTATTCTGGCAAATAGAAGTTTGTTTCTTCCTCCTCTTTTTTTTGGGGGGGGGTTTCTCTGCATAGCCCTAGACTTTCCTGGAACTCATTCTGTAGATCAACCAGGCTGGCCTCGAACTCAGAGATACACCTGCCTCTGCCTCCCTGAGCACTGGAATTAAAGGTGTACACCACCACATCTGGCTAGTTCCTGTAAATACAACAGATTAAGAATTGGTATTTTTGAGCCAATGGTTATTTTAATTAACTAAGATCAGAAATCTTTCTTTTCGCTATACTGGAAAGAAATTCTTTTATTACCTCAAACTAGTGACCACTACCTACCCCGAAGCATCCCATGAATGGCACCATTATTACATTCTGCCGGGTTGGCCTGTTAGGGTTATGTTCTCCTCTCTTCTAAATCCTATTCAAAAATGTTGGCATGTCTTCACCGTTAAGAACATGAGCCCCTAAGGCGAGAATGTAATTATATCACTAGACCCAAGATAAATGATAAAGGGGTGTTTATTGGGGAACAATTACACAGAAAAATACAAAGAACCTCTGGAGGGTTTCCCTGCTCTTCCTATGGATCTGCTGACCCGAGAGAAAAGGAAAGCCATGCCTCAAGCTCCACTCTTTCGCTTCCATCCACCTGAAACCACACCCAAAGGGGTGTGGCCACCGTTACAGGGCCCCTGACCAGAGGCCTACAGAGCTCACCTTTTCTGCTGGGACTTAAAATCATTCTGTCTCCTTTCTAAGCCACTTTCCTGAGAACAGGTGGCGGGATTGGTCCTGATGTGACTTCATTTTGCTTTCTTAGATGTCGCCTCACAAATGACTAGTAACTTGAAGAATCTCTTATCACCCAAGTATCAACAGTCTGCATGCATCCCTCTATGGTCATCATCAGAATTCCTGAAACTCCCATGTCCACTCACTGTTCATACCTTAGCCAGGCATCTCCCTGACAACAGAATGGGCGGGCTCATGGAAATATATCACCAAGAGGGGGCCATGGCAGCTAAATCTTTCCTCGGGGACTGGGGATAAGGGAAAGTTGAGTACTCCGGGCCAGTCAGCTGACCTACTCGCTGACAAGTCACTAATATATACTGCTTCAAATGAGCTCTTTATAAAGTCCCTGAGGTAATTGATGGGATAAATAGTCCTTCTGTAAATATGGTCTAGGAATCACTTTTAACTTGAATTCTGTACTGACCTCTGGAGGCCAAAGCAGAGGTTTGGCTGCAGGAAGGGCTAGCCTGATCCTTCCTCTGAATCCTTCTGGAAGCTGGGGTTGGGGTGGGGGACTCCACACCTTACAAACAGTACTGTAACACCCACCTAGTTATCGCTGAACCAAGTAAATCTATTACAGGAGAGTCCTTGAACACACACAAAGCTGTTAGGGAATACTGGCTTTGATGGGGGGGAGGAGGTGTTACAGGGCTTAAGAATAATTCCATTTACCCAGGCAGTACTTCTTTGCTCAATGAATAATTATAATTTTAAAAAGTAAGAAAGCACCTTGAAAAAAAGGAACAAAAAGCAAATTGTGAATAAAACAATTTTTCAATTTCATAGGTTAAAGCAGGGTCTTTGAGGACTGCACTAAATTATAGAGCTGTTATTAGCCACATTGTGCTTTCCTTCTTAGTTGGATGTAACACACTCAGCCTTACTACAGTGGGAAACAGCAGCAGGAGTGGAGTTCAGACTGTTTACCCTTTACAGTATCCACAATTATCAACAGCACACCACACAGATTACAAGCACCAGCCACTTGTGAATAGATAAGCAGAAGTGCAATATGGCCGTGCATTTCACACAATGCACTGACTTCACGGCTCCAGCCCATTTTCTTTTCTTTCTTCCTTCCTTTCTTTTTTTTCTGGGCTAAGTACATAAATGTAGAGAATAAAATCTCCAGTGGTTTTGCCAATCCAAAGACAAAACCGAAACTCGTGGCTTGTAAAATTCTATTTCGAAAGAATACTCGAGTAGTTCATCAGCTAATTTCAAGCCAGCTCTCTCGATCTAAACGGAGACTCTCTCCCTGGCTAAACCACTTGCTATCTTAACAATCTTGTATTTTAGAGGTTTGCCCTACACCATAGGGTAGTATGTTTGAGTCTCAGCCTGGAGGGACCAGGAAGAGACTGGGGAGGAGAGGGAAGGGTTTTATTTTATTTTATTTTTGCCTTTCTGTTGCCCGGACAAACAGAAAGGCACTATTGTAAATCCGTAGGGGACACCTTTGGTTGCCTGGGTCCTGAGCATGCCGGCTGCACGGTGTGGGCACGGTTTAACAAAAGCACGGGCAGAGAGTGCAGAATGGCACCGTTTTGATTACAGGCTTGCTTTTTAACGGAAATAAAATTTCACAGTTAACAATGAGAGGTGAAAAGTTTAAGAGGCAAAAGCTGTTCCTCCTGATCGCTGACTGTTAATCAGCTTCATGGGTGGTTGCCTAAATCTGTAGATTTTTTTTTTTTTTTTTACCTTGCACTACTGCCAAGATTGTAACTAATTTTTTCCCCTGTTGTAAGAGGAGGGGTGAAAAACTCAGCATAGAAGGCAGCTGTGTATGAGTGACGTGAGGCACTAATGCAGAGGGCAAAATTAAAATTCATGAATCTCTTCACAACCATTTGTGTAACAAGATTAAGACGGGACAGCGGAAAGGAGCGGCATTATCAGGCGTCTTACAGTCCTCCAGCTGCTTATGCTCTATTCCAACACAGTAGGGCTAAGAGGATAACACGCAGCCCGAAGGGGAGCGCTGCTTCTCCGATGGGGAGCAGGCGCGGCCTGGGGATGGTGGGCTTTGGCCAGAGAGGCAGAGGAAGAAAGCTGATTGCCGCTCAAGATGGAAAACTTTTAAGCCCTGGCTATTAGCAGGGCGGCCAACAAAAGCCTCCAGGGAGGAGGTTCCCGTAGCCGAGCTGGCCCTCAGCTTCCAGGAGCTGCATGGAGGTAGCAGGGACAGGGCAATGCCTTTGGCCTCAAGGCTGGGGTTGAGACTCCTGGGCTCGGTGAGCAGGAACAGGGGCATCCCCCACTCCCTCCCTCCTCCACCTGGCTCCTGGCTGGCTGGCTGGCTGGCTGGTGTGTGTGTGTGTGTGTGTGTGTGTGTGTGTGTGTGTGTGTGTGTATGGGGTATGTGATTCTGCTAAAAAATGGACACAAGGATGAACATTCTTGTGCTAGAAGCAGGATGTCAAACTAATTGAAATAGCTCTCATTACACACACACATCCACACACACTCACAGACAGACAGACAGACAGACAGACAGACACACACACACACACACACACACACACACACACACACACACAGGCTTTGACCCAGGACTGCATAGTATGTCCCCTGGGTTCTACTTACTGCAAACATCATTCAGGAAGGCTCATCCCACAGCCACAGGAAGACTATTTCTTAGGCCGGTGTCAGCAGGGGGAGGGATTTGACTTGTAAGCAAACCTAAGGCCATTTAATTATTTAAAGAGATGTATTTGCATTTGGGCCAGTAAGTCAGTCAGTGGTGACCTACGGAGCACTATATTGTGTACTGCGTCCAGTACACAATATAGATGCTTAGCAGGGTAAGAAAATCAAAGGAGGAGGCTGCCATCTACTAGGGTCTGACACTCAAGTTCTAGACAAAGGAGGGGTGGGAGTGCCTTGCTTGTCCCTTCATACTTCAGACATTTCAGAGAGGAGACAAGGGGTCTCGGGGGACAATGCCAAACATCCCTGCTGGTGGAAAGACACACACCTTCAATCTCCTGAGCTGTCACTGAGAAACTCAAAGTGTTGTTCTAGGGAGCTAGGGGATGACATGACATCAAAGCAGCCTCAGCTGATCCCTGTAGTTCCAGCCTGACCCTGGAGGGAGAGAAAGCCACCTCATTCAGGGGAGACCCTTTCCCCACCAGGTATCCCCTCAGAGCTCTTCCTTTTGTTTTGGGGGCAGGGTAAGGGGGATGGGGGGCCATTCTGGAGAAGCAGGTAAGATGTGAATAACTTGTCATTGGGTTCCTATTTTGTACTGTAAGCCATGGGTCCCATTCCAACAGTGAGAAGATGCCATTTAACTTTCAGTTCTCAAAGCACAATCCACTCCCACCTCCACCCATAGGCTAAACGGAGCCCTAGAGACAGGGAGAAGCCAACCCATTTCAAGGAAGTGAGAATGAGGGTCCTTCCCTTTGGAAGAGGGGATCCATCCTGCACATAAACTTTCAGGGGCCAACACATTTTGACATTATATCACAGTCCCAAGCAATAAAGAATGCTATTTCCAATGTCCTGGGAGGAAATTGCGGTCCGGATTTCACTTTCCTACAGTCATAGCTTGTGAAAGCATGACAAGTCAGACTCTCAAACTGTGGGCAGATGAGCTCAGCAAAGGGAGATGTCCAAAAGGCATAAAATGACACAAGAAATCCCTGTTAGGCTGGTCCCTGTGACAGGCACCTGCAAACCTGAGAATCCTAAAAACTTTTCCAATGAATACCCACCTCTTGGTGTCCTATATTGCCCTATGCCCATAAATAATAAAAAGGCTGATAACATTGCTTTATGTAAGCAGGCTTAGAAATCACTCTCAGATAAGTGCTTTTGACCTAAATCTTGTAGCGCCTCTCGTTCTGACATATAACCTTGCAACTGTGAAATTCTGTATGAGATTTAACAGTCTCAAACTGTCAACTGACCCAGCCATAAAGCAAGCCGAGATAAAGATTTGCAGTCCAACATGATACAATTAGACACTCACCTTCTATTTATTTCAGTGTGGCTAAGCATTTAACCTACTTAAAAGCCGAAGGTTTTTTTCATTAGAACACAAATGCATGTTTGTCATTCATTCTAAGCTGCCTCCTCTTGCATCTTGCAAATTAGTCCATTATGAATGAAAAAGATTAGTTTGTTTCAGAGAAAGGGGTAAACAGAAATGGTTTCTGTAAAATCCTCCTAGACACGCAAAGATAAAAGATGGCTTTACCACACAAAATAATCAGATACAAATAGCTGTTCAGAAGCAACACACCTAAAGAGTACTTTAATCAAATATTTAGGTTACCTGCCAAAAAGACCATGATCTCTTCAAAATGCAATGCGGATTAAAGTGTTATCTAGCACAAGCAGAAAACTAACCTTGGAGTGGAAGTTTGAAATGTGTTCATCATAATTTTCATGTCTTTGGAGAGAGAAACCAGCTTTTTCAGCTAGATTGCAAAACTGGTCGAAAGTATTCCCTCGCCGTGGTGCAAATACCATTGCTTTCCCCTAGAACATATTAAAAAAAAAAAAAAAAAAAAGAAGAAGAAGATGAAATTCACACAAGTTTAAAACTGGAAGGCAACCAAATACAACAGACATGAAGTCAAGGCATTCATGTCTTCTCAGGTACAGAAACTTAACTGTTCTCTAGACATTTAGGCAGGATGGACATTCACAGGGAGAATCATTTCAAGGGCAAATAAAGAAAACAGTGTTCCACACTCAAATAGCCATGCTATATGGTATTTCCAAATAATACTTATGTAATAAACAAAATGTGATGGGGAGCTGTCCTGGGCAAGGTTCCCTGCATCAGGTTGATGGGGGATGCTCTTCTGTATATGTGTTTCTCTTATTGGTTGATGAATAAAACAGTTTGGCCAATAGAGGCAGGAAGATAGGAGGGACCAGGAGATAAGGAGAATTCTGGGAAAGGTAGGCAGAGAGGTGCTGCAAAGAGACGCCATGCAGCTGCCAAAGGAATAACAGGTCTGGGCATTCTCTGGTAAGCCAAGACCACATGGAAATACACAGATTTATAAGACAGAGCTAGCCAATAAGAAGACCTAGCCATCGACCAACAGTTTAATACTTAATATAATGTCTCTGTGTTTATTTGGGGCTGAAGTGGTGGGATCTGGCAGGATAATAAACTCCAGCAACATCAGGTCTAGTGGTTTAAATCACGGATACTGAGTCAGGGGTGGTTCGCATGACCTAAGACTCCTTCATACCCACCAACACAGTTCTGAAGTACATGGTAACCCATGTTTATGCTTGTTAACTTATTATGCCCTGAAAACGAGGTGCCAAGCTACTACTCTCCATAGAGATCAGTGGCCACAATCCATGCTGGAACGGTCTCATCTTTCTTTCAGTCCTGTCCCTGGACTTTTCTGTGACTTTCCTGGTCTGGGACAAGGTTTCAAAATGTAGGTTCCTTCTTCAGTGGACCCCTCAGTCAGGTTCACACTGTGACAGAGCAATTCTACAGCAATCAAACAAAAGCAGTACCATGCAGGTAGGCAGGCGTTTCTAAACAGCCACAAAATCTGAAGATGATTGGGGGTCTGAGGAGAACCTGAATAAAAGTCCACTGGACTTCAAAAGGCCGGTGTGACAAGATACTTCATGATGCATGTGGACTCCCCATACCCTTGGCATGTATCAGAATGACCAGGTTTCCGAATCTTATTTTCTCTCCATTAAACAAAAACAGATACCTACATGCTTACAAGCTCTCATCAAAATGCCACTCTAGGCTCTGGGGGAATTATGAGACAAAGTCCAGTTGTTTTTTGGTTGGTTGTTTGTTCAATTGAGGCAGGGTCTTGTTATGGTAGTCCAGGCTAGCCCGGAATTTGTGTTTCTCCTGCCCTCACTTCCTGAGCTCTGCAGTTGCAGGCATGGGTTACCATGCCTATCTTATTTCAGTTTCTTATGACAGAAAGTCATAAGACATTTATTGGTACACAAGTGTGTCAGACAATGGGCTCGTCAGCTACGCATACCTCATCTCCTCTTTAAAAGTATCCTCAGGTCTGTTTTATGGGGATGTTTAGACAGCTGGATAATTGGTCAAGAGTCATCATCCTGACTCTGGACTCTGACATGGACACTTCTGTCTCTCTATTCCATTGTCTCCTTATTAGCCATAGTGATGACAATGACAATGACAGCTACCACTGTGCTAGCTGCTTCACAAGCCCTCTTTAATCCTTCCACACTCTTCTCTGCCACCTTGTAGATTAGACACTTTGCAGATGAGCAAAGCAGCAATGGAGGGATAGAACAGTAGGAACCATGGCGCGGACAGGATCCTGGATCCCCACCATCACACAGCTGTGGCATCCCTGGACAATCAGAACCACACCATCCCATGGAGAGTTGGAAGGGATATTGGAGATGGTGTGCTCTGACCCCCTGATTCTGCACACAAGAACCTGCATCCCACCCACACTGACCTGCTGAGTTCGCTCACCCATCTAATGGGAAGAACCGAGCTGCAATGCCCCCCACACCCCTTTTTCTTTCTCTTCCAGCAAGCTGTGAGGCTCAAATGAAGTGAATATAAAAATAATTTGAAGGGCAAGGCGATTCAGACATAAGATCAGAAAAATCCGTATTACTCAACCATGCTATAAGAATCCTCTCCCCACCCTGTCTACCTACAAGACAATACACGGATACACTGCTCAGGACAGAAAGTGTGTGTTTTCACATTGTGTTTACTTAGACATATACACACTCAGGCACATAATTACAGCGGCACCCATCATGCCACCATACTATGGTTCTGTCAGCTTTTCCAATATTAATTGCTATTTTCAGGCAGTTTTCAAACTTAGTAGCAAAAATTCATTTTTACGTGAAACTGGATATAACACACGGTCTCAGCAGGAGAGGATGATTCTACTTTTTTTTTTTTTTTCAGGAAAAAAAAAAAAAAAAAAAAAAAGGAGAGAGAATCTATCAGTGGGCCATTTCAGTCATCTCAAAGGACTGGTTGCCATTCCAGAGTTTTGAATAATGGAAGTTGTTTGCACCTGTAAAGACTGTCACACAGTTACAATCAAGGAGTTGATTTTTTTTACAGCTATTATCTAAGCTATATATCATAGCATTTCAGGGTGACAGGATTCTTGGTTGTCTGACGCTTGCATTCACCAAATGCATGCTTCCCACATCCCACTCACTGTTGGGTTGGGAGTGGGTGGTGAGGCTAAGAAGTGTTTTCTGACTAAACACCATTCCTCTGCTTACGGCCCAGTTTACCTTCTATCACTAACAAATATATCCAGAGCTGTAGCAAGCATCCCCTCTTCCCCTCTGTAGCCTCTCCTCTACTGTCCCGGCTTTAGTTTTGTTCTTAGCACTTATCATCACAGACACACACTATATCCTTGTTTGCCATTGCCTGTCTCCTCCCTCTGCTTGGATGGCAATACTCCATGACAACAGGGTCTTCTTATGCTCCTGCAGTGTACTCCCTCAGTGCCTAGCAGACAGGAGGAACCCAGTCAATATTTGTTGAGAGAATAAACTAAATCCAGGTGCTGAATAATCCAAAGGTGGGGGGGGGGAACCTCAAAACCACACCAGCCTTTGGGAATTTGAAGGGCACATTCTATTGCTTATTTTTTTGGAAAGGATTTTCTCCAAGGGGCTTTTACAGATGCCAGCTCTAGGGAGAGATGGCAGAGGGCACCCATCTGCCCACTCCAGCACCCACAGAAAGAGCAAGAGGGAGTAGTAGTGCTGGTCAAGAATGACTTATGAGCTTTAAACTGTTGTTCATTTTGTTGACTATCAATACATTGGAAAATGGATTAGTGTTTCGGAGGGTGATAGTACAACACCCATCCATTCAAAGACATCTACAGAGCCCTATCAGGTTGCCAGTCTCTGCCTCATGCTGTAATAGGTGGCTTTAATGGCACCCTGCCTCCCGAACAGGGCATGTCTGTGGAGGAGTACAACTAGACACATATTCCATGTCATTTGGGCTGCAAGAAGAAAAAAAAAAAAGAAAACAAAACAAGAAAAACAATATAGATTTCAAATTAGCACATTACCTTATTTACCAGAGTGCAACTTTCTAAGCATTCAGCCCTGGAATCATTTTTAAAACTCAGAGTGACTGCTCAATGGGATGTAAAAACTGATGGGCAGAAATTCAAGGGAATTCACTTTTCCCTGGAGAGACAAGTTCCATTCAGCAACAAAGACACCGTTTACAGAGTGAGCGCCATTGTTGTTACCTTACTAAGCTGCTCCGTACTCAGGTATTAAAGGGTGTACACTTGTGGGCAGATAAGGGCGCTCCAGAGAGGAATGTGCCATGCCACTGAAACGCCTTCACCTCCTCTCTCTTCCAGGCAACCAATTATTAAATACCCATTATATGTTTAAGCTTATGCTTATTTTTGATTTGTTTACCTGGCTTCTGTGATGTGCCCTTCACCCACTTCTTCTGCTTCTCTCTCTCTCTCTCTCTCTCTCTCTTCCTCTCTCTCTTTCTCTTTCTCTCCCTCACTCACTCACCCTCTTCACCCTCTTCTCCATTCCTGGCGTCTCCTCTCCCTCTAGCTCTTTGTCCATGGCTCCCAGGCTTCTGCCCACTTTTCCTTCACGTTCTATATAATTCTGGGCAATTGTATTCAAGTCCGCAGCTTCAACTATCACTTAAACGTCAATAATTTTCACATATGTAACTGTAGCGTTCACCTTGGAGAAGGGTCCACACCCATCTTCCCAGGTGCCTACTCATCTCAGCATGTGGGTAGTCTGAAAATATCTTTAACCCATTCTGTCTGAAGCGGAACGTAACCCTGGGATCCAAACCTTGCCATTCTTAGTGCATTGACTCACTGCAGCCACCCCCCTACGTCCATGCCCAGATACGCAGAGCTGAGGACCCATGTGATGTGCTGTTTCCACACCGGTTCCCAGCTGGAAGCCACAGCATTGCCACTGTGTTCTTTTCTTTTCTCCTCCCTGACTTTCCATCTCCTCTCTTCTCCTCCCCTTTCTTCACAGGGTCTCACACAGCTCAAGTTGCCTTCAATCCCCACTCCATCCTCTTGTGGGATTATAGGCATGGACCACCAACCTGGTAAGACACGGTCTTTTTGTTTTTGCTTGAAGACAGAGTTTCTCTGTGTAGCTTTGGAGCCTGTCCTAGAACTCTCTCTGTAGGCTCTGAACTCACAGAGATCCTCCTGTCTCTGCCTCCTGAGTGCGTGTACCACCACTGCCCTGGGCACTCTTTTAAAAACGCCAAAGCCCTGTTTCCTTACTTTCAAGTGTGTTCTGAACTGCTTGAGGGGGACTTAGAGGGGTAAAGGGAGACCAGGAATGGGAGCAGAGTATTTCCACATCCTATTTTATACTTCGTTGTTTCATGTTGGTGCTGGTTCTTGAACCTGGAACTTTGTGAACGGTATTTGTGAATGGGGATGGGGGCTAGACCGTTTGGTCAAAGAGTCTTTTCAATCAAACGGGAT